GTCTTATTTTCACTCATTCAATTTATGCCATTCTAGCATCCTGCAAATCTACTCTGACATTGCTCTGATACTTTTCTGTCCAGCCTCTAGGGAGGCATTTTCTGTCCTGCTTCCTCATTTGCGCTGTTAGCCCTACAGTCTGGCTCATTTTCTCTCACTCCCAACAGCGGCTGCACTTGTCCCTTGTAACTGAGGAAGGAGAGTAGAGGTTGACTGGTTTTCTTCCTAGACATTGCCCACATGCTCGTGGCATTCATCTTCACAGTCTCCTCTCCACATACATTGTCCTGTGTCCATGCTGTGATCCCATGGCCACTCACCCCAGAGCTGCCACCTGAGAGCAGAGGCACTAGAGCTGGTCCCACCCTAGCAAAGGCTCACTGGACACTTCCTTCCTGTTGCTCAGCTCATGCTGGCACTAGCTCAGCCTCCAGAGGAGCCTTCACAACATGGAAACTGGTGCAAAGCAGCTTGCAAGGAGTCTGAGGGGGCCACAGGTGGGCAGGATGCACAGAGGCCCAGCCCAGCCCCTCTCCTGGGGCCCTTCTGCACCAGGTTGCCTCTCATTCCAATCTGAGCAGGGCAGAAACTCCAACGAGAAAGCACACTGTAGCAGTGGTGGCACCAGGAGATTTGAGGAGCCTCCATTGATATTCTCCTGGAGGAAGACCCAGAGACAAGCAACTGACTACTCTGCATGGTAAGAAAGGGCCTGGGAAAAAAGATAGCCAGTGCACTATGCATTAATTACTCACACAGGGAGTGACTCTGATAACTCTTAGCATGCATATGGGAGGGGGCTTAATCCTTTTAAGAAAGCTTGGGAAATGGCATAAATCACACTGCAGAAATATCCCATCTGAGGAACAAGGGGGCTGGGTGTTTATATACCAGCTCTGGTAGGCAAGATTGAAGCTGCTTCCAGGGTAGACTGATGGCCCAGAACCCCTGGCCCTAGAGCAGCTGTATTAGTCAGCATTTTTAGTGCTGAGACAAAATATCATATATTCAAAGGAGGAGGGCTTTATTTGGCTCACAACTTTCTAAGGATCCAGTCAATGCTCAGTCGGCTCCAAGGAAGAATCGGCCTGGCAAAAGGGCATGGTGGAGGAGAGCTGCTCAACCCATGGAAGCCAAGAACCAGAGAGAGAAAGAAAGAGCTGGGCACAAAAGATGCCCTTCCAGGTCCCACCCACAGTGACCCACCTTCAACCAGACCCCACCCCCACTGCCTACCAGCACATTCACTCACGAACTCATCAATGGACAAATCCTTGATGAGTGTAGCACTCCTGTGATCCAATAATCTTCCAAAATCCCCACCTCTGCACACAGGAGACTTCTGGGATCATTTGGGACCTAAACCATAACATCAGCTTTGCAAAGTTCTGGGCCCAGGAATGAGGCCCAGGGAGGGGACGCCAGCAGCCACACATGGCTATGGGGTAATGCCAGGATGCCGACAGCATCATCCACACTGGTGGCCTCAGATTAGAAGTGTTGCCCCTTAATAGACAAGTCACCTGTTACTGATGTTTGATACACCACCCTTAGAATACAAGTGCTTTAGTGAAAAGAATGACTATCACCCATGTTAGGATAGCATTATCTCCTGCTCATCAGTCTCTCCCCAACATTTCCTCCTGTATTATTCACAACTGAGCAAAGCCTGGGAGCTTCTCAATACCCAATGTACAGTTTTCACACCAAAAACTTGATGGCTTAAAATAATATAAACCTATTATTCTTCTGCTCTGAAGTCAAAACCCCACAATGTACCCCAGTGCACTAAAGCCACAGTGATGGCAGGACTGTGTCCTTCTGAGGCCCCTGGGGAGAATTCACTCACTGCAGTCACAGAGTCTACAGGCAGCACCATCCCTTGGCTTGTGGCCACTTCTTCCATCTTCAATGGCAGGAACACTTCAACTTCAGCTCTCTCCTCTCTCTCTCTCTGTCTCTCTCTGTCTCTCTCCTCTCTTCATACACACACTCCTCTGCTCTAGTCATCATATATCTGTCTATATCCCTGATGTCTCACCTCCGATTATAGGAATGTGCTACAGTTTGGAGATGATGTGAATGTGTCCCCAAAATGTTCATATATTGAAATGTAATCCTCACTGTGAGGAATTAAAATCATGGAAACTTGACTTGACTGCTATGCTTAGAGTTGGAGCCTTCTAGAGGTGATTATGATTAGAGAAAGTCACTAGGGTGGAGAATCCATGACTGAACATTGGTGGCTTTGTGGGAAAAGGGAGAAACACCAGAAGACACCCGTGTGCTGTCTCTTGCTATGAGATGCCCTATGCTGAACAATTTTTCCTATATTTACTTGCTGTTTTTACTTCTTTGTCTGAGAAATGTCTGTTCATTTCAGATGCCCATTTTTGAATCAGGTCTTTATATTTGGGGGCGGCTGGTTGTTTTGAGTTCTTTATATATTCTAGATAATAGTCCTTTGTCTGAGGAGCAGCTGCAAAAAATTTTTCCCACATTACAGGTTGTCTCTTAGGTCTGTTGATGGTTTCTTTGGCAATGCAGAAGCTTTTTAATAAGATGAGATCCCAGCTGTTGATTCTTTCTGCTAGTTCCCATGCTACCGAGCATTTGTTCATAAAACCTTTCCCTAAGCCAATGCCTTCAAGAGCTCTGCCTAACTTTTCTTCCAGCAAATTTAGTGTTTCTGTTTTAATATTTACATCTTTAATCCACTTGGATTTTAATGTAGTGCATGGTGAAAGATAAAGGTCCAGTTTAATCTTTGGCAGGTTAAGATCCAGTTTTTCCAACACCATTTATTAAAGAGGCTATCTTTCCTCCACTGAGGATGGTCAGCTCCTTTGTCAAAGCTGAGTATATCTGGATTTGTTTTTGTGTCTTCCGATCTGTTCCACTGATCCTCAGATCTTTTTCTTTGCCAGTACCATGCTGTTTTTATCACAGTGGCTTTGTAGTATAGATTCAAATTGGGGATTGTTATACCTGCTGCCATGTGTCTGTTGCCTAGGATGGCTTTTGCTATTCTAGGTCTCTTCTGGTTCCAAATGAATTTTTGGATTCTTTTTTCTAGTTCTATGAAATATAGTGTTGGAATTTCAGTTGACATTGCATTGAATCTGTACAGCAGTTTTGGTAGTATGGCCATTTTCATCACTGGTCATTCAAGAGATGCAGATGAAAACAACACTGAGATTCCACCTTGCCCCACAAAGAATGGCTGCTATCAAGAAATCAAACAATAACAAATGTTGGCGGGGTTGTGGGGAGAAAGGAACCCTTCTCTATTTTTGGTGGGAGTGCAGACTGGTGCAACCACTATGGAAATCAATATGGACATACCTCAAAGAGCTGAAACTATAGTTTCCATTTGACCCAGCCATCCCTCTGCTGGGTATCTTTCCAAAAGAACTAAAAGAATCATATCACAGTGATGTATGTGCACCTATGTTTATAGTGGCAATGTTTGTAATAGCTAAAATTTGGAAACAGCTCATTTCCCCATCAGTTGGAGACTGGATAAAAAGATGTGGGTTTTCTATAAATTGGACTACTACTCAGCCATAAAGAATGAGAAATTAGAGTCATTCATAGGAAAATGGATACACATTGAGGATATACACCTAAGTGAAATACATAAGTCACACATGTAAAAACTGAATAATTTCTCTGGTGTGAATAAACTATAGCAGTACATAAGATCCTAATGATATAATGGACAATGTGTAATAGGAAGAATGGGGCTAAAGGTGTAGGAAAAGTGTGAAGGGTCGGGGAAAGCTAATAAGAGAAAAGAAAAAAAATTGATAAAATGAAAAAAATGGAAATGAATTGTTTGTAAAAGGGGAGAGGAGGAGGGGGTGAAGGGTGGGCATTGAAAAGGGAAATAATGAGAACCAAGACTTGTCATGTAAAGGTACAAGGTCCCAATGATGAATGCAACTGTACTGTATACCTAAAATATACCAATAAACTCAATGAGGAAAAAAAAAAGAGATGCCCTATGCCTCCTTGGGACTCTACCAGAAAGATGGCCACTGGTCCTGAAACTTGGATCTCTAGAACCATGATTCAAAACAAGCCTCTTTACTTAGCTACTGGACCTCAAGGGTTTTATTACAGTTACAAAAAATGGACTAAAAGAGGACCCTGGTGATTACATTCATCACTAATAACTTGGGATCATCTCCTCACCCCAGATACTTGACTTAGTTGCATCTGCAAAGAGTCTCATTGCCATGTGAAGCACCAGAATACACTCACAGGTTCTGGGGATTGGGATACGGACATCTACCACACTCAATTTTTAGAGGAGAACATGGAGACCTCACAGATCACAGATCACCAGTCTGGATACTAAATCCATACATTGATTATGAAATAGCTGCCTTTTTAGTAATGGGGAAGCAGCCACAGAACATATTTCTCCCTGTAACTCTGCCAATTGTCATAGAAGGGCTAAATGTGAGATATATCCAGCCTTTAACCCTTTAGTTTGAAATGGCTTTGAATCTATCTTGAAGTGTACTTTTCCCATAAGGACCTGTGCAGGGGAAGAGGAGATGAGAATGGGAGAAATAACTCTAGAAAGAGGTACAAGAAAGGTATTATTAAAGCAGGTAGAGTTGGGAGCACCTCCCACTCCATGCTTCTTTGCCTGAATTCCTAAAACACATTTATTGAGCATTTATACTATACCAAACCTTGTATGTGGGGCCCAGCTCTGTGTCCAGATATGGGGAAAATTCAAGTTCAGAATATCTCAAAGTCAGATAAGCAGTTAATAAAGATTTACTCAATGATTTAAAGAATTTACCAGTTTTCTACTTCAGACCAAGAATTTTCATATGCAAGAAAGAGCAATCACACCAAGCCCCAGTTTCCTGCCAAACTCAAAGCCCTTTTATTTGACCCTAAAAATATGCGAGATTTTGCTGCTGCTGCTGCACCCGGCCTTCACACTGAGCTATATTACCTGCTGTTTTTATTTTGAGACAATGTCTTGCTAAGTCACTAAGTTGCCCAGGTTGACCTTGAACTTGTGATCCTCTTGCCTTAGCTTCTTGGAGTGCTGGACTTATAGATCTGCACTACCATACCCAGCTACTATGTGGTTTTTTAATGCTCTAGGTATTGCTTTTTTTTTCCCCTTGAAGATCATTTTCTGTACTGCATATCCATCTGGAGAAAAGAACAAATAGGAAGATTATTCATAACTTAGAGACAAAAGTAAAGTATCCATCCCTCATTCCTGATCATTTCCCCACATACTCTTTTACTTGCTCTACTTTACCTGCAAGAGGAGAAAAAACTTTTTTGAAAACCATCTTGTCTCTAAAAATGCCATCTATCTCATTTCCTTTTTCTCTCAGTTCCATTTTAATCTAGCCCCTGGGTATTGGGAAAAAAAGCAAAAGAAGGTCTTCTGGGTGATTTCAGAGGAACCGAGAAGGGGGAGATGAAGAACGAAGCTCTGTGGAACAGAAGCTGGCCTGGCTCCAGCCCAGGTTATACTCTTCTGGGCCTGTGGATGTGTACCAGTTAATGTTTGGATCCTCACTGATCTCATCTACAAAAGAAGAACTGAGTTCTCGCCTTCAGGATATTGCAAAGCCCCTCATCCAGCTTCTCTGTGTACCTCATTCACAACTGTGAACCTGAATGGCTGGTGCTGAAAAGCAGGGATGTCTGTGGACACATAAGACCTGAGGCATACATGAAGAGTGAATACAAAAGGTTTAGGAAGCAGAGAAGTTCCAACATCACTGAGTGATGGAGTCATAAATCACACAAATGTTTGTCCCAGGCTTATGATACTGGTGCAGCTGTGGTTACTACTTTACAATTGTTTTCTAAGTGTTTATGCTTTTCCAAATGTTTCAAAACACCTCTTGTCTGTTCATTTCACCTGTGATGACAATCTCATGGAGATGGCCACTTGTTTGTACTTATAAGGGACTAGACATCCAGATAGTTGAGAAACTGAAGTTCATACCAATGATAGTCACTAGAGACCACCTCTAGGCTCCAGGGTTGCTCCAGACTTGCAGGCTAGGACTCTCCCCACCATCCCGTACCATCCCTCTTAATCTAGGCCTCCTCAGAAGGGAGACTGAGGCAGATGGGATTCCTACTAAGTGTCTCCTCACAAGGCCTTCAAGGACCATGAGTGATCAGTTGCTCAGTTTCAGAACTGTGCCATCCCAGCTGCCAACTCTCCAGAAGCATCATGAGTTCTCAGGTAGGTTGCACAGTCAACGACTTATGAGGGGCAAGAACACTGCAGACAGAGAAGTGTCCAGTCTGATGTCTTAAGATTGGAGTTGACCTATCTTCCCAGAGCTAGCACCAGGGACAGCAGGCAGAGAGATGGTGGGTATCCAGGTTTTTGTGGAAACCACCAACTTCCTAAAAAGTCACCAGGGACCCAGCTTAAAAGGCAGGGATTCTTCAGCTCTTATTAGATATAAAGGGAAATTATAATATCTCAGCAGTGAGTGGAGACAGAGGCTAAGACGTCTGGTGGGTCCTGGGGGGGAAGAGGAAGCAGGCTTGCTTACCCAGAGCAGAGAAGTGGAAGAACTGGATGATGATGGAGAAAGCTGGCCAATCACAAGTGCCCTGTATGCCAGCTGGGAAGTGGGTGGAGATGGACACAGAGGTGCCATCTGAAGCTCTGGGGTGCTCCAAGGGCATGGCAAATGGGTGTTAAGAATGGTTCCTAGCCAGAATTGATATAGTAGTGAGGAGTATTCTGGACGTTGTTCTCTAAGTGTGGTCCCCAAAACATCAGCAAACTTAACCCATTTGAAATGCAAATTCTTAAACCCCATCTCAAAACAACTGAATTGTATATTCAGGGTTTGAAGCTAGGATAGCCATTACATCCTGACTTTCCATAATGCTGCTACTTTTACCACTGAAAGTCCAGGCAAACTGGGGTGATCAAGGGGAGGTCCTCCCATCTGTGTAACTTGCAGCATGTGAGATCCTTTGGCTAAGAAGAGAAAACAAAGATGCAATTTTCTCATCCAAGTTAAAACACACACACACACACACACACACACACACACACACACACACACATTTTCTAGATCCAGGATAAGAATCCCAATTAACAAAATAACCTCTGCCCCCAAGGAGCATGTGTTCCAGAGGTGTTGACAACAATGAGGCAGAGGACTGCAATTCAGTTTGACAAGAGCCTGGAAACAGAAACCCAGGGGGTCCTGGGAGCTTGGAGCAAGGCAGCTTCACAATGAAATATTCTTTCTAGAGAGCACAGAAGTGGGCCATAGGATGATGATAATGGCAATGATGAAGAGAAGGAGGAAGGGGAAAAGAAGAAGCAGATAAAGAGAAGGAGAAAACAAGACAATGTACATTGAGTGCTTACCTCTATTCCAGGAATTTTCCTTGGGCTTTGGGCTTTTAGTTATCCTGACAACATTATGTGACAGGAGCCATCATTGTCCACATTTAACAGATGATCAAACTGAGATGCAGAGCAGTTAAGAAACTTGCCCAAGGTCACATGGTGATTGAGGGATGTAGCAGGGATCTGGAGCCAAGCAAATTAACTCCAGAGCACATGCTCTTAACTACCATGTGATTGCCATGATTATTTGAGTACTTGATCATTGTATGGTTATTATAAAGGCCCCAAGGGCTGCTGCTTCCTCCCCTTCTCTGACAATGAGCTCTAACTTGATTGAGATTTATAAACATGGCCTATTAGAGGGATGCCAAGCTCAAAAAGTTATGATGTGATCTCAGTGTAGGCAGATAAGGCTATTTGATGCGAACTAGCTATGGGGAGCTCACAGGGCTGCTGCCTACCAATATCTACTGATTGCAGAGGGAGTTGGGGGCTGGCAAAAGAGGAGAAGAGATTTAAAAAAACATGAGGACAGGATTTATTTTTAAGACAGGATGGAGAAATGTCAAGGCAGAAGCTAACTGGATCCTTCCAGAAGGGAGGAAAGAATTTGAGAAGGGGAACACAGATTGTAGTCTCAGGCCAGCCCAGATATAAATCTTGTTTCAGCAACTGGAAAATCATGCAGTTTTGCAGAATTCATTCATGCAGTTTTGCAGAATTCATTTGACCTTTCACTCTGCCCTCGTGTGTTCATTAATGATAAGGATATTTACGCCACCAGTATTCTCATGGTAACAGAGGTGCGTGGATCTTGGTAGGTCATTACTGAATATGCATGCCTGGCCTCTTCACTGCAATGGGGACACAGAGGTTCCCATAAACCCTCATAAACCCAGGTACCCCTCCTTTATTTGCACAAAGCCCTCTGTGCTTTGTCTGTTCTTGAAGGAGTCTCACCTTTGAGTTTGTCTCTGCAAAGAATCTCATGCCTCCACTAGACCATGAGTCTTTGAAGCCCAGGCTGGATGTTGCCTGGGATTAATCTCTGGGCGGGTTGCCCTCAAAACAGTCTCAATGCAGGTATTGATAGTTTGTTCATAAGATGATTCTGGAAAGGATGAATGAGTGAGGGAGAATGAGTCAGGGACTAGAGAAAGGTCAGTAACATGATACGCTTCAAAGATATGGGCACTCAGAGGCTTAATTCCATGTGTTCAGAACACCTTACAAAACTATCCCTTTGAAGTCAGAGGTAAAGTTTGCCCCAGTGGCTTCTTTTGCATGTAAGTTTCAGAACTCACTGGGGCATTAATGCCCCTGCACTTCCGGGCTGCCATACTAAGTAAGAAAAATCTCAGAACTGTCCACCAGCGCTAGAATCAAGGTGAGAGGTGGACTAGAAGGTGCAGGACAGGAAGGTAAGTAACCCTAGGTCCCAGAAAAGGGCTCTGCATGATCGATACTGCAAGGATACTCATAGCCACTGTGGAAACTGGGTGTTATCAGCACCTCATCACATAGATGAAGAAACTGGATGTCGAGGAAATCAAGGGACTGACCAAAGTCCCACAGCAAGTGCCAGAACTGTGGCTCAGCCAGTTATGGTAGATTTGCTTCCCTTTCTGATTTCTCTATACCACAAGAAGTCTATGACTGACTTGATTTTCTTAGAGTAAAGAAGATTCCCAAAGGGGGAAGATTTTAACAAGGGCCAATGAGAAAAGGCACTCATGAAGGACCTGACCAGACTACCAGGGAGACTCCCAACTGTAAAACTCCCTGAAGTCTCAGTGAAAGCAGCCTCCATTTATCTGTGGAATGAGCTAACCTATTGAGTTGGGCCTCTTTCTCTTCCTGGAATAAAGTAGCTGAGAAAATGAGCTTGTAACGAGGGAAGGTTTATTTGGGCTTGCAGTTTTGGAAGTTGCAGTCCATAGTAGTAGGTTGGCCTCATTGTTTTAGGGCCCATGGTGAGGCAGCACACATCATGGAAGGAGTATGTGGCAGAGAAAATCTATTCATCTCCTGGAGGGAAAAATAGAAATAAGAAAAGATCAGGATCCCACAGTTCCCTTCAAGGACACACTATCAGGAACCTAAAATCTCCCACTTGTCACTATCTCTTAAGCTTTCCACCACCTCCCAGTGGCACCAAACTGGGGACAAAGCCTTTCACAAAGGGGTTTTCTGAGAGACATTCTAGATTACAACTATACCACACACCTTCCCTGCTGACCTGGAGGTCCTCTGCGTGTACTAGCTGATTCCCTGTCCATGAAACAGGGCTCAGTGAAGACAGACAGCCTGACTTCTTTTCTGAGGTTCCCAGGTAAGAAGCCCCCACTACCTGGTGTCAGGAGAAGTCATCTCTTTGGCATGTTTGGACCCAACACCAACTGCTTTGGGTGACTCTAGTGACAAACTCAATCACTTTGAAAGGACTGAGCCTATGGCTAACAAATACCCTAGGAAAAGAAGAAAAACCACTGTGGTATGGAAGAAATGTTCTTCCTTTTGCTTTTTATTATTTAATTTATATCTAGCTGTATCTATAGCTCAGTTCATCTCAGAGATCAGGTTCTTAAGAAGCAGGGTATGGGATGTGAGCCACATGACAGAGGTCATGAACCTAAAGAAAGGTGGGCAGAAGGAGGTCACACTGTTCTGGAGTGCTGTTACCCATCAGAATCATGCCACTGCCTGTACCTTCATATCCCTACCTCACTCAGTCAAGATGTGCCACTCTGAAAGGTTATGACCTTGGGTGTGGCAGTTCTCTGCAAATGAGGCAGACTTGCTGGAGCTGACAGCTGAAGTCTGTCCCCCAACCTCACAGCCCACTGCTGGACATGAAGTCCTCTCTCCTAGGAGGCTCTGGGCTATCATCCTTGCAGATTTCAGGTTCACCTCTTCATATGTAACATTCATCTCATTGCCATGGCCACTTGGCTCATGTTCCCTTCTTTCTGGCCCCGGGGCAGACCCTGACAGAGGCAGGATAGTATCTTGTGGCCAAGTCACTTTGTCTGCATGGTTTTCTAGTGATCTTTTATGGTGTGTACTCTAGGCACATCAACACATAAGATGAAGACCCTCAAAAGTTGAGCCCACTCCTATAGGCCCAAGCACAGGCCTCTAGCTGTCTATTCATGCTTTTTGCTTGTACTATTTCCACTCAACCTCAGAACCTAAGGGAGCACATCCATCTCATGGTGTTGGTTCTGGGTCTGCCCAATGGTGTAATGTGATAAGTCACATAGGACTTGGCTCAGGATTCCCAGTCCTAGCTATGTGGCAGTGTGGTACCTCACAGGGAGATGTTTTATCTCATCATTGAGCAGGAATCATTTCCACAAAGTGAGTTGTTCTCTTCTGGAGATAGCACGGTCTTGTTCCCTATCACAAGGTTATGCCCCACCATTAGTGACTAAGGTTAAAGAGTATGAGATGGGGAAATGATCTTGGGTTATCCTGCTAGGCCCAGTCTGATCACATTAGTCCTTGGAAGAGGAAAAGGAGGCAGAAGAGTCAGAGATGCAGCAGTGGAAGAAGTGGAAAGATCTGGAGTGTGAGAAGGACCCTTCCTGTCATTGCTGGCTTTGAGATGTAGGAAGGGTGCTACAAGCCACAAAGGCAGTGTCTTCTTGAAACCAGGAATAGCTCAACTTACAGCCTACAGGATAATGGGAATCCTGGTTCTGCAGCCACAAGGAACCAAGCTTTGCCAACATCCAATGAAAAGGAAACTGATTCACCCAAGAAGCTTTAGAAAGGTGTGCAGCATGCAGACACCTTGAGTGGGCCCAGTGAGAGCCACACTGGATTTCTTGTTTGTTTGTTTTGTTTTGTTTTGTTTTTTTCTTTTTGGTACTGGGGATTCAACTCGGGTCCTTGCACTTGCAAGGTATGCCACCGAACCACTGAGCTATATCCCAGGCCCCACACTGGATTTCTGACCTACAGAAATGCAAGATGGTAAGTTCAACTTTCAGATTTAAGCTGCAGTGTGTTAAACCCATGATAGGAATTGGACACACAGACTGCTTCTGTCCACCTCAAGCAAAAGGTCCTCACACTCAGCAGGAAAGTGAGCAGTCCAGCTCCAGAACCTCATCTTTCCTTGTGTTCCCCAGAAACTGTCACAGATTTTGTGTCCCAGTAGCAAATGCTGAGATACAGGTCAGAGCCAAGATATTTGGTAGGAACCTACATTCTGAAAGTAAATGAGAAAGCAAGAGTGGGTCAAGGAAGAAAGACTGGGGATGCAAAGTTGCCAAGCACTGACTGAAGCCAGCACAGAGCTTCAGAGCAATGGTGCCCACTCGAGGTGTCCAGCATCAGGTCCCCATGGGCAGCTATACCATGCCTTGTTTACATGCTTCGTGTGGCTGTCCCCAGGAGGAAACGAGTCAGGATGAAGCTGCCCCCATGGGAACAGACAGCTGAAGACTCCCTGACTGCCCTCTGGCTGACTTCTGTCACACTCCAGCCAGAGAACAAGTCCTGCTTCAATGGAGGACCTACATGGCACAGCTCCACCTTTGTCACAGTCTCTTCATGTCATGGTCACAGAGATGCACCTCACTGAGACTGAACTATTTATGCAATACCACTGGAAACAATGGGCAAAGGTGAGAGGCTATTCCAAACTTCCTAAAGCTTTCTCCCATGCCACCAGTGTGACAGTTAAATAGAAGCTGTTTCTTCAGAAAACATAGTGAAGCTTCCGAGTGGCTGTACCAGAAGCAAACATAGTCACTGAACCCCAGCCAAGAAGGGACTTCAGCACGACCCAACTCAAGCCAGATGTACCCTCTAGGCCAGTGGGCCCCAGCATATTTGTTGCCAGGGACTGGTTTTGTGGAAGCCAAATTTTCCACAGATGGGGAGAGCAATAATTTCAGGATAAGTCAAAGGAGCAGGACAGCCAGATCACTACAACACAGTTCACAGTGGGGTTCACACTGCTAGGCAAATCTGATGCTGCCCTGATCTGACAGGAGGTGGAGCTCAGGCAGTAAGTAATTCAGGTGTGAGGCAGGCTGTAACTACAGGTAAAACTTCACTCATTTGTGGGCCACTCATCTCCTGCTGTGCAGCCCAGTTCCTAACAGGGCACTGACCAATCTGCACAGATCCTTGGGGACTTGGGGCCCCCTACTGTAAAGCATCTTTCCTATGTAGTCTGAGACCCTAACCGGCCCACCTTCCACCAAAAATGTTCTGATCCTTCCTGACTGTTATTCTTGGTGCTTTTTCAAGTAAAGAAGGCAATTTACAAGAAAGCAACTTGAAAACTGCTAACCATGATACTTTCTGTCTCCAAAAACATTCAGAGTCATTCTTTTGGAAGACAATGCCTCTATCTGCACCAGGATGGGACTGACATTGATTTTTATTTCACGCCCAGGACTCTGTGCTGCCCATTCTTTCCTTGTTCCTTGAGTCTCTCCTCCTCCCTCTTTGAAGATCCTGCAACTTGTTACAAGAAACAACTAGATCTAAATCCTGCATCTCCTGATTTCCAGGTCTTGACGCACAGTTCCATGCTACCTCTGTAATAAGAAGTGCCTGAGGGGAGCTAAAAAGATAAGCACAGATATAACCATGTTATCACATTTCCCCACCTATTGCCAGAACAGTCTTAGAACTGGGGGTAGACTGACTCACAGGCTCCAGTTTTGACCCTCAGGACCACTGGCACAGCTTCACACTTTTAAGGCTCCAATGTGGGGAGGCGGAACTTGGGCTTCATGACTTGATTTGTTCAATGGAAAAAGTGAGAGCCCCAGGCCTACACCAAGGGCTCAAGAGGTCCCACATCATTTGCCACCCACCATGAGAAGAACATCTGCCAGCTCTGGGGAAAGATGAGTGACATGAGAAGAGAGCTCTCCGGCAGCTGCAGCCTGAAGCAGAGCTTGGCTGTGGGATGCGCAGAGCTCATGCTGTTTAGGTACCATGGACACAAAGAGAAATGGTCTTTGCCCTGAAGGGATCTGAGTCCATCAGAGAGAGAGAGGAATTCACAAAACTAGAGGTCAGTCCATGGAAACTCTTCCCTCTGTCTGCTGGACCACTTGGTAGATTGCTTCTTTGTTTTAAGTATTTGCTGCTCCTCCCAGTGAGAGAATAATGCTTCTACACATTCATATCCACTTGACCCCATGGCTGCTTTGCATGATGGTGCATGAGCCAAAGTCGGGTGTGCCACTCCTAAACAGAAGCCGTCCATGGGCCACTCCACCACTGTCAATTCTCTTAGTCTCCACTTATTTAAGACAGGGCTTCACCCCCGGCTCAAGCTCCAGAGAGCAGAAGCAGTTGGCCTACAAGGATCCATTATTGCTGGAAGCATCTGACTGCTGGGCTTGTTTGTTACTGTAGCAAACTGGGTGGAAGTCGTGAATATCCTAAACTCTCACTGCCTGCCTCCATGTCCTTAGTTAAAGCCTTTGTCACTCCCCACCTGAACTCTCAAGCAGTTTCTGCATTGGCTCATCTCTGTATCAAGATGCCCCTGCTGAGGCCCCGGCACACTCCTGCCAGGCCATTCTTCTCACCATAAACCTGATCCCATAGACCCTCACTGAAAATGTGTCGGCAGCTCCACAGGGCTCTCTGGGAGCCTTCACCTTCTGGGCTGAGCTCTGCTTGCTGAGATCCCTGGCCCCCACTCAGCCCGGTCTCTGCCCTCTTCTCCCCAGTGGTACAGGGCCTGTCTTTCCTCCAGTGCCTCCTGCATGTCTGCTCTGCCCTCTGCACTGGCCTGGCCCTTTCCCGAGGAAAACAAGCTAGCTCCTCCCCTCTGCCAGGATGAGCAGAAGCTGTGCCTGCCCTGAGACACAGCCCAGGACCCTAGTCCCAGTGCCACCCTCAGTCTCTACTGCATAACCCAACCTCTCCAGGAATATTAGAAAACCTTGTCACCCAGGTCCCAGCACCAGAGGAGGAGTTAATGGGTCTGGGAAGGGATCTGAAAATGGTAATTTTTAAAAGCTCCCCAGGTGGCTCTTTTTTAATTC